ATGACATCACAGAATAAGCTATCAATTTCTGCCCCTATCCATCTGCAAAGTTCCACTCGTAGAATCAAGCCGTCCAGCCTTGTGAGATTCCCGTTGAACTGATCCAAAGAGCTGTGAAACACAGAACTACAAAGCTACAATGACTTGGTCAGATACTGAGCATTCAGAGTCACAGTCTATCCCGCCGAACGGAGAACAGTGCAAGCACACTAACCGGTAGGAGGGTTGCCATCATCACTAGAATTCGAGACAGATCAGTAGTTAAGACGAAGCACTACTTGACAGGTCTGTGATTCGAACCCAACTTCGGAATCTCGACTGCTCCTGCCTAGGCTTGGGCATTCTGGTAGTATCTCAGCCCTCTTGCTTCTTTTGGGTAACATGGCAGCTACGCACCGAATTGTTAAAGCTGAAAGACGTTATCAACATTGACAGCACTACATAAGTACATGCTGGCACTTTATTAGTATAACAGTTAGATGGGTGTGGAGGAGATAAATCAAAATGTATGGGCGCATTTAGAGTGAACCACCCTTCAGGATGAGGCCTACGGAACTCTACCTAGAATCCGCTGGAAATTCTATAACATGTGGTTTCTGATCAGTGTTGGCCGATGAAGTCAGATAATCTTGGTTAGAGTTTGGACATGTCTCAAACATCAGTGTCACATTAGAACTAAGCACATTTTTTAACAATTTTACTCGGACTAATCGGCGTTACACAAAGTTAACCTACACCTGAAGGAAACAACTTGAAATAATCTCCCCTGAGAATTCCTTCCTGGGAAGGAAAGTATCGTCCAAATCCGAAAACCATCTTCTCTGAGAATTAGCCTATTCAGACCTCAAATTAGTTCCTGCGTGTCTACAGGGGCTCAACGCATAGTTCTGCGATAATGTACCATGCTGCCATTGCTGTCAGTTATCCGACGGGAGCATTTGATCGGCAATGCGGTGCGAGGTGATGAATCACAATTTCTTCTCAACTGGCATCCAGCGTGATCAGTGTGGTTTTTTCGTACCGATAACTCTAAATGACTCCACGTTACAAGTATTAATTCCATTCTGAAAAACGAACTCAATGCACTCTGAAAAGTTGAAGGTCTACGTGAAGCTCCCGCTTAAGTTCACTACATCAAATGGTGTCAGGCAACGATGTTCTCTTTCACCTGGCTTCTTTAACTTAGTAATTGACGCGATTATGGAAGACTCATTACCAGTTTCTAATGCCTGCAGGGTCGAAGTGCCTCCGGAGCGTCTGCTCACTGATATAGTTCCTCTTGGATATGATGCTGTGGTAATTGAAACAATATTAGATAATCTAAATAATTCTGTCTCGGTTTGTCACGCGTCTCACACCTAAAAAGTGCTGCTGCAAGACTGGGTGGGATCGAACCCTAAACTAATGCTTGCAGATGAGGTGATCATGGTAGCAGACAGCTGAGCGGCTGTATCAGTCCCAGTGGTTCAGCCAAGGACGATATTTCCACGCGGATTGGGAAGGCCACACCGGCTTTCGCGAACCCGCATCATCTGTGGCGTAGGCGTGACATCAGCTTATCTGTCAAGGATCGCGTTTGTAATGCTGCGGTGAGCTTCATGTTATCATACGGGTCAGTTACCTGGTCGCTGTGCGCTGAGGATGTGAAAAAAATTTCCGGGTTTGACCATCGATGTCTTTGAAGAATTACCCGAGTCTAGTGGGAACGCCATATCAGCAATGCTGAAGTATGTCGAGTAATTTTTGGAAAAAAAAACTCATCCACGATAGATGAGCTGATCACATTCCATAAATCGCACTGGTGCAGTCATGTGCTCCAAATGCCAGTCAACCGAATTTCTCGGATAGTACTCTTCGCACAACCATGCGGAGGGTGGAAACTAGCCACAGGAGGTAAACTAATGGTCTGACAACGTATTATGGAAGCCATTACTGGCCAACTCAATTACGCTGGTCATTGCCGTCTCCCTGAATGGGGACCCCGAGAAGGTAAACATCAATGGTTAGATACATTCCGACTCAGTCACACCTTCCATGGCGCTCATGTATTCGAGCATTGCTCCCCTCCCGATCTCTTCAATGAGAAGTCCACTGACACCACCTTATTTACCCCTCAATTATATCAGGTACTGCTTCCACTCCGTAGCTATCTACCCCTACTCCCCAAATCATCGGCGGACAAAACTGTAGCGGCTATAACCACTGTACGGCGAGTAGGCAGTTTTTACGGGTGATTATGAAAAGCTGAGGCACATCGTCCAGCTATTTCATCGCTGTTTGAAATCTTCAGCGAGAAGCAACTCACAAAAATTCCCCATCACTTGTACCCGGAAGGGGAATAGCGTCACTCACCCTCCAACCGTGCAGTTTATGTCACCTGACTGGTTTCTGAAGTGAAATACCCTGTGGAAAACATGCGCATTAATCACTGCTGGTTAGCGACTCAAGGTGCCCAAATTCCTATCAGGAATATTGAAATTCGCTTAGTTCAGTTTGACAACAACGAAGCATGTGCGTGTGTACGACGATCCGGGTGGCGGCAGTGGATAGTGAGGGATGGAGAGCGATCGCGATCGCAGACAACGAAACAACAGAGTGGTCACTTTGTGAGTCATGGGGAGAGAATAGAGTTGAAAACCCTACTGGCCATATAGGTGAGTGTCTTCAACCATTAAACCCAACCTCACATATAACCAGTGCAGTCGAAGATCTTTGTGTTATCATTATTTGTCCCTAGGTCATGCGTTGTCCACCCTGTAGTATTTTTCGATTAAAACCTTCTTCAAAAAAACGGGGAAAGAGATCGCGCCAACATTATTGGTAACACTTGATCAATTCATCGAATGGGCAGACAGTTGACTTGTTGCCTAAAACCACTGACCGCACTTCGTCAGTACCAAAAGGATGATGCATATGCGGTTCTTCGACTGTATTGATAGTAAAAGATTCTGATTTATCTCGCTAAACAACCGCAAAGCAATTCCAGACAATGTAATGTTTCAGACTCTACCTCTCACCGATGAGCTAATGTCATATCGACACCAGAGGCGACCAGGTCAGAATGTTACCCTTCAACGTAAAGCAGCTACTCAGATACATAACACAGCCTATTGTCTCCGGTTCTTCTGATAACCCGACCAATTTTAGTAGCGTGCAGACTCAATCTTGTACTCTGAAGATGTAAGGCGTTTAACCCTTCGCAAGGCAATGATATTTTTAGTGTATTTTATACCTGTACAGAATCTGATCTGAATGGTGCGGCATAATTAGCATAACCAGGGTCCCTAGGAAAGTAGACACATATGGTTGAGTCCATTACGAAGTTGCAAGGAAAGGGAATAATCAGCCATCCTGAAAAACGCTTGTGGTGATGAACTCAGGAGAACAGTGACCGCAAACTTTCACGCTCCCACGGGTGTCAGAAGGAATGAGGAAATGTAATCGAAGCATTAGGAACCCCTTTAAAGAGAGTCCGACAAGGCTGGGTGATCAACTGAAACGAAGGCTGATTTTTAACCTATTTAGAAAACTGTTGGCCACCTGTACATGCGAAGTGTTCGAGTGGGTGCAGCGAGATAGGTATGTGATCAACACACCCACAGGGACAGGGATGAACCCTGGCTTGATTTTTACGATTGTGGTACACGTGAGAGTTGGTGAGACTGCCTGGAACGGCACACATCGGTAGGTGAGGAGCGATGGTGACTAGATACTATGATCGTTCGCATGTTTAGACCTGACTTTTCAGTACAAGGATTACGATACACATCTAACACTCCCTTGACACTTCTTCTGCCTTCCAAACACCCTACAGGAGCTATCAAGATTTTCCGTTCTAATGACTGTCGTCACCGATGAGGCTTCTGCTCAGTTCGTGACCACAACATAAAGAACCACAACACTTACAGATGTGATACACTACCCGTAAAGTTGCTGAAAACTCTTTGACAGCCCATCAGGTAGGTGCAGTCTCCAAGTTTCCGTTAACCCTATATTCCACTTAAATCCAAATTGCACGAAATTAACGAAATACACTCATTTGCATACCACATCGGTTTTGACGGGAGACTCAACTGAAACCCAGCTGAATCTCTCGTTTATTATGACCACAACACTTCTCTGAACCTGCCCTCGAAACATATAAAAGATGATTTGAAGAACTCGTGCTTAAGAAAAAGAACTACACACCCAAATTCCTTCCTTTAGAGGTTGGAAGGTGGTGTATGTCTTTCACCGCAGCTGAGATGAAGGTCAACCATGTTTAGTTTAGTTTAGCAAACTCGCAATGAAAATTTCAAGTGATATTATCAGATTTCATGCATGTTGTCCAACGTAAAAACTGACCGCCCTCCTGGAGGCAATTAAGGGTATGTCTATCAGATATTTCGGGTAGGCAGCGCCAGGAATGCTTACAACCACTGCGATAACTCGCAATAACTATATGATTCCGCACGCCGAATTCAAAGACCTGAAGTGAAAAGGCGTATCATGATTGCGCACGATGATAACCAGGATCGATTTAATCCAATATCATGTACTGTGGCAAAAACGAGGAGCGGCAGTTCTATTAAGGGCGATTTGTTGAAAAACAATATCTTTTCGAAAAGCAATGGATTCTAGCGCACAATGCTGCTACGAAACACAACAGGTCATGAATTGCCGACAGTAGAATTAAATAGGGAAGCTCACAAGACAAAGGACGAGAAATTCACCTAAGAAGGGGTAAGTCCTTAATCAATCTGTGTCTGAATTAATCTACTCAGCTGGAAACACGTTCTGAAGGAAACTGATTGTGCCTTTGGATAAATCGGAGGTGTATAGAAGCTCAACTGCTTCATCCAGTGCGGGTGTCTGCTGAGTACTCAAGTATACGAGTGTTAAAGAAACGGGCAAATATTTTTTCTCTAACGCGTTTTAGAGTCCGTCAAAGAAATGCAAGTGCTCCGCTGTGTTCATGTGTACCTGCAGTGATAAGACATGTGAAATTGTGAACTTATTAATAAAGCCAAACCAGAGTAACTAACCTTTCGTGCGCACAGCTGAATAGCCAGAGGATCTATCTGAGATTCAGTCGCACCCGGTTGTGATACCGACAGGCGTGCACTGACAATGTCTGTCAGTTCAGTGCGACTGTACGGAGGGAATGCTAGGTGTACCGGATGATGGGCTTTTCCCTTGAGGCGTGGTAAAAGACGTTCGGGAAGATCCAGGGCGTTAGCAATACCAATGATCACCAGTTTAGAAGATATCGTGCTGGGCCAGTCAAAAATACTGAAACGGACGGAAGAGGCGAGGTCACTCACAGACTCATGAACAAAAGGTGTCAGAGGTACGGCTATGATAAGTCACCTCAATCATAAGCTGCATGTATGTATTTTTTAAGACTGGTATCTTTGAGTTACCTGGCTACAAGTGGCTAGCAATGTGGCACCGACGGGCGTAGTTTGGTTATGGTGACTAACTGATAAGTAAGAAACAGAGAAATTGATGCACCAGAACTCGGTTTATGCAAAATTACAAATCTTCATGATAAGCCTATGACCACCCAGATGTCAGTAAATGAGTGACCATAAAAGAGTCTGACAGCCCATGTTGCCTGGCCCAACACGGTTCAGGCAGATCTTGAGTGAGGATGTCAAGTGAAGTGCATAGCCAGATGTTGGTTGGAGTACAGTTACAAGACGGCGACCCACCTCCACCTAATACAAGCGGCTGACCGTGCGCATTGAACATAAGCTGAGAGTGAGAAGCAACTAACTAACTTGTTTTAGCTGATATCCTACATGGCCCATTCACTCACCTCGGTTCCTATGACTCAAAACACCGTAAATCACGCTGCACAACGGCCAAGGGTTGACAAAAATTTCCAAATTAGCATATACTACTTATATAAAAGTCATGAGAGAAAAATGTGTAGGCTGAGAAAAGCGTAGTTTAACGAGACTAATGATTGCTTGAAATTTTGTAATTTTATCCGAAAACACCATCCGAAGCCACTGCTGATAGATTTAAAAAACATTTGCAAATTAGAGTTTTTCTGCGCATGTGCGTAATAATGGTCCATATAGACTAATCAGAGAGTTGTGAGTGTCGGGTCGCGGTGTTGGTGTCGGAGTTTCTCAGGGCGCCAGTCGCTCGTACTCTCCGGAAAGACTCCCCGGGCCATGCGCAGTGAGTGCGGCCCGCAGTTGCGGGCTTCCCTCTGGTTGGTCGGCCGCTTTGGGCCGACGACGCGTAGCCGAGGCCAGGCCGGCCCCGATGGGCACTAGCCGTGTCAGTAAAGTCATCCTCTGGGATCTGATGGGGGTTGCGTGACCCGACTTTTCCGGCTCGCTCCCTACTTGTCTTGCCGGAAGGCTGATTGGGAAGGCCATGCGCAAATTCGCCTGGGACTACATTGCCTCGACAACGATAGTTCGCGAATTGGTCAGCAGTCCCTGAACACCGTACGGCATAAATTGTAAGCGTAAACGCATTTTGAAAGCCCACACAAACAGATTCAAGTGTCAGATTTCGGTCTGAAACGTCGCAATCAGGTCACCAATACCAGGAAATATGGAATATGTCCAATATTTCATGAGAATTTAACGAAATGGTGCGAAACAATATTTACAATCGTCGCGTTTTTCCCGTCATTGTAATCCAAGAATTAAGATCCGCACACTTGCACCACGAGAAACAATATTTCATTTTGTTTACATTGCTTATCTCCAGTCAAAACGGAACACACACTGAGTATTAACAAATCTAACTGGTTCAACTAGTGTGTTACATCTAGGCATACAGTTAAAAGTTCCTCAGGAATGGCTTTTTCAGTGTGTCGTAATTAGCCTCTCATGGAGCGATGGCAACTGTGCTGCGTGCTCAAAGTTCCATTCCAAATCAGGTCTCATTTTAACAAGCACCTTCACAACAGGAGTCTCGACATCTATTATTGATCACAATTTAAGATCTAGTGAGATACCTTTTTGACGCCACAAGTGACGCAAATTAGCAAACGCGATTCGAGCCTTTGAGATTCTTGCACTGACTTCATCAGACACACTTCCATCAGAGCTAACACAACTACCGAGGTATGTAAAGTTTTCCACAATCTCCAGTGATTTCCCTTGAATAGTAAGGGATATGTTCGCAGATGGCACGTTCTGAAGCAGGACTTTGCACTTTGAAGGTGCAAGGCACATGCCAAAAGATGGTATGGTGGTGGCCAGTTTATTCAACAAGGTTTGTGCTTCGCTTTGGTCTTCAAAGACGAGGGAGATGTCATCTACGTAATCCAGATCGACAAGGCTCTCGCCAGCAACAATTTGAACGCCCGGTTTTTTAAGACCGCCAAGTGTTCGCCCGATTATTTCATCAATGACGAAGTTGAACAAGAATGGGGAGAGTGTACATCCTTGTCTGACACCACCTTTTGTAGGAAAGCTTTTGGAGAGCTTACCATACACTCTCACCCGCCCAGAAGCATGTGAATATGGGGATCGGATTATGTTCACAAGCTTCTGGGGTATACCCTGTTGAGCTAGTGCAGTTAACAGCACTGATCGATCAACAGAATCAAACGCACCTTTGAAATTAAAAAAATTCCAGGATTGTGGGTCGTCTTTACATGTGGCGTTGCTCTAACACCTGACGGAGTGTGAAGATGTGGTCAACGCAGCCTCTACCCGGTCGAAATCCCGCTTGATTCTCACGCGTCAAGGCTTTGCGTGCCACCGTAAGACGACGAAGAATCAGTGACGCCAGAAGCCTTGTCACAACAGGCGTCAAACTAACACCTCTGTGGTTACTACATTCACTGCGAGTACCCATTTTGAAAATTGGCACCACTATCGATTCACCCCAGTAGTTTGGGACAGTCTCCTTCTCCCAGATAAACCCAAATAGGTTAGACAGGCACCGGCTGAGAAATTTAATACCATCCTTGAAAAGAGCAGGTGGTAGGTTGTCAGGACCAGCAGCACGATGACGCCTGAGTAAAGAAATACATTCGGACCCTTATGAGACTGAAGGCGGCACCATATTTGCGGTCCATCTTTCTGATGAAGGCCAGGATTCTGGACTGGAGGTAGCAGGTGGCCAGCTGAATTGTTGTTCGAAGTAACGTGTCTAGCGGTCCAGACGTCCTACTTTGTTGCATATCAGGGAGCGATTTGGGTCCCTGATTACTTCGCTGACAAGAGGTTTCCGAGGACCAGTGGAACGAACCAAATAGAACAGCTTTCGGACGTTTCCAGCATTCTTTGTATCTTCCATTTCTTCGGCCTTTCGGGTCCACCAAGCTTCTCAGTCCGCACGGACACTCAGTTCGACTTGGCGTCGGACGATGCGCCGGGTGGAGTTGTCATGGCGGCCAGGTGGAATCTGTCGCCGGGTCTCCAGATAAGTCACGGTCCTATCAGAGACCCAATGGTTAGATGAATTGGCTGGGTGGTACTGCAAACAGACATTCCGGCTTTGAGTAGCACTTTGGATATATTTCCCCAGTGGCCGTTTATATCCGACACCGTACCGTCCGGAAGGCATCCGAGCAGCTGGCTCTGATAGCTTCGTTTGAATTCTGAGTCCACTATTTCAACGAATAAGCGAGATGTGCGCGTTCTCCGTACACCTGAAAAGCGCAATGAAAATCAGCAGCGTACAAGTGCATAGTCGGAGTCCACACTGGTGCTCCAAAAAAAGCGGCAGGGGGTGATCGACCCTCACCACCGATAACTGACGGCGATGTGGTCTATTTGGATTCGGCGCTAGCTTGTTGGTGGTCACCACGTTGTCAAGCGACTTCCGCTTCTCCGGATATTCGTACTGCACACATCTGAAATGAGCGATCTCGGTTGTCCGTGCGTCTAGTGTCCAAACCAAGACGACCACCCAAGTGGGCCTCAACAGCGCTTAGTCTACCTACCTGGGCGTCCATATCACCAGCAATTACAACGATATCTGAGCTTTTAGCCTGCTGTAGAAGGGCACCTAGAGCGTCATAGAAACTGTCCTTGGCAGATTCAGAGCTACAGTCAGTTGGGGCGTAAGCAGACACAATAAACAAGGTGGGATGAATCTCACTTCCTCTAGATTCTCTGACAGGTGTTGCTAAACGAACCACACAGAGGCGACTATCAAACGGGTACCCAATCAAACAGAGACGCTTTCGCTCATTCACTCAATACGATACCCACCCCAGCATATCCAGCTGCAGCGGCCTCTGCATCACCAGAGGTGCGCAGCCGTAACCTAAAAAAGCGAGGGGGCAGTCAGTTCGCTCACAGTACTCGCGTCATGCGCCCTTGTTTCTGGCAGGCAACATGCATCGATGTAGAGGGGATCCAGCGTACGAGCAAGACCTGCTTGGTTCAGTGTGCGAACACTGAAGGTGGCGAAACAGACAGGCCTTCGGGGTTTGAAAACATACTTCTAAGTGTTAAGGGTAAGGACGTACAGAAGCTGCAGCTGAGTGTGATGCACGGCGAACAAAACGGCCAATCCTAGAGCTGGGACCTGCGGAGGAAGTACTTAAATTTGGGCGGGGGAGGTTGGAAGACGGAAAACGTGAAAGTGTAAGAAGGGAGGCGTCAGCAGTAACATGTTTTCGCTTACCCGCCCTGAAGTAGGCAGCGAGTAAGGCGACCCGACTGATGGCACCACGCGACGGCCGATTTGGCATGAGAGTATTGTTATATGTAAATGTCATGGTTGTACGAGGGCTGGGATACTGTCAGGGCGCCCACACCTAGAGAGGATATAAGGGCGATTATTCGGTCTTAGGTGCGGCTAAAGGTACCACGGTATTGGCAAGACAACCGGACATTTATTTATGGGTACAGTCAGCTTGTATCCGGCATTATTCGTGAAAAATGTATTTTTGCTGACATTCTGTGGTTGTGTTGGTTTCCGAAAACTGGTCTATATAGGTTGCGTTATCACCAATAATGGATGGCCAAAATGCATCCTAGAACGTCAAACAAAAGCTTACTGACTTCATCTGGCCAAGTCTACTATTCAGCCTAGTAAGTCGAATACTATCAACTACTCGAGTACCGAACTCTGAGTGGTGCGCGACGCATGATGTCCTTGGTCAGCTCGAAAGTCACCTAAAACTCGTCAGACTAGTTGCAAAAGTAATGCCCGAAGCACTACAGTCTGCGCTATTGGGACCACACAAAGTTACCTCATTCCTGAGCAGCGATTGTGAACAGGATCAAACTGGCGGTCGCGCTCCTTTGCAATGGGAATGACCCGCAAATACCGGCGACTGTAATTGAATCTGCTGAACATATTTGATCCATGAAGGCAATGTCCCCTATACCCAAGACAGTAATGAGTGAATAACAAACAATTTGGCCCCGGCCTTGGTGCAAAGAATGATTCCGTGATAAAAAGTACCACTAGCTGAAAGAGAGCCTTCCTGGCATTGCCGATCATCGGGCACATTTGGATGCGACTGTTTCGGTGGTGCTTAATGCGGGCATGATGACAAGGTCGACTGCATAGTTGAGCTAGAAATCCATATATCATTGAGGTGTTGCAGTCCATCTTCCGTTATTCAGTAGATACAACAGCTAAAAAAACGGGGTAACGGGTATCTGTTTCCTAAAATGAAATCAATAAACTTCTGAAAAAAGGCCTTACCGGACGCACACGAACTGTCTCAAATCACATTACTGCCTGTCGAGCTTAAACCTACACCAAAGTTGATAAAACAGACTGGCATAGATTGAAAAGGGGCAGGCTAACGTTTCAGTATTTGTTGCATGGCGAATATCTGATGAGCACAACCAATACAGAATGAAATCATCTTAATCAGGATTGGTGCATAAATATCTTCGACTGCAAAAGTATTTAAGAGGAATGGGCAGCAATGCCCAGAACATCTATACCCTCCTTTGGGCTTGCAGCCCGCCTCAAGGGACGGTAGCATTTCAGTAGAATGGGAATGCACACAAATTTATAAGCGTGTAAAACTCAAGAGCGAATTAGTACGATGGACAGCTTTCACCACTAAGTTTTTTGCAGTGAATAATACATGAAAGGAAGTTAGGCAGACATCCGCCGCCATGTGTTGATTGCACCGCAAAGCAGCAATATGAGAAAACGAAGCAGGATCAGGAGTGGTTTGATTTCACTTGACTGATACTGCTCATACAGCATACCTGGAACACATAACGACAACGGTCAACATTGAAATTTTAACTGTAAAACTGCCCGCAAAGAAACGGTTTGTGCAGTGCTACAACTGGCCTGGCCACGCGTCAGCCATTAGGATCGTAAACACCAAGGTAGGAGGCGGGTTGATGTGACCTAACACCCGTCTGCGTTCTTAGCTACGGGGAACCTAACGATGATAACTGATCATGACACGTATTCAGTCCCTTGATTTTAGGTTTATCCTCTTGTATTGGGTTGACCTCAGAACGACTCCCGAGGACACCATGGGCACGATCGTCAATATTCTGTCACTGACTCAGAAAACACAGTCAAACCGTGATTGCGGTGTGTATTCTGCGAGGAACGCCTAGGATGCATTGAGAACAGCCGGTGGAGACGCCAGGTATCCATCCATTTTGTGACGAATCGCTGCGAACGGTTCTTCAGGAGCTATTTTTTCAGTTTGACTTGTCTACACACACATGCATCTCGGATACACCACCAACCGAGCCAAGCAGCGGTTTTCGAAACAGCCTTCTGTCTCGCGCTGTATTACACGCTGGCAGCGAAAATGGCCAAAATGCGATGGGGGGTTTGAAAGCCAACGAATGAGAAAATAAAACAGATCAAGTGGGAAAACCATGTAAAAAAAAACACTGCCTGCTCAGAAACACGAAAGTGAAGCATCACAACCCACCGGTATAAAACATCCTGACTCTTCGAAGATAGTTGATCAACTTCGTCAAGAATTAGTATGACCAGAGCAGACCTGGTTACTTTACACAAAGCATTTTCCACAGCCGTAGAATCCACGGTGGTTAATCGGTTCTCTTTTCCATTTGACCTTTTTTGCAATGAAGAGAATATGTGGCCGAACACCTCAACAGCGGATAAAAGCTGCATACAGTTGACATGCACGACACGACACTTCTCGGCAACTTCGAAATGGTAAGCTTCATGTAAAACCACAGCCGTTTTCCCCGTCCCCGGGGCTCCACTAATATACAGGTTGCCACTGCGATTTTGGACGAGACAATTTCGAATGAAATCACGAACAAAAAGGCGCTCCTTTTCTCGTCCAACCAGTTGTTCATTTGATTCATCTACCCCCAAACACGAAGTAAGTGGAGACGCTTGGTTATGTTCTAGAACGGTCGTCCGCGAAACTGGAGATGATATATGGTTAATTGTGGGCTTCTTCGTTGACACAGTTCTTCGTTTCGGTTTGAGAATTTTGTCGGATAGTTCCTCTTCCACTATGCGTACTGTTGGCTGCTTCAGTGTTGAAAGTCGTGTCATTCTGCGTTCACTCAAATTGTTAGCTCTCAAGGATTTGCAAGTTTCAGTTTGAACGGTGTTTCGACGTGTTCGCAGCATGGTAAAATGTCTGAAATTGTCAAGTACATAATGAATGAGAGAACTGAGTTCTGTAGGATAACTACCACTGCGCACTTATATCCGTTTTTATTGAGCTCTCCTAATTTGCTCGTATGACACACGAAGCAATACCCCTAATTTACATGTTGTTTAGCAGCATTGAAGAACAGACTCAGCCATATACCCTGAAGAAACGACGTTAATCAAGAAGATAAAAAGTGAAGTGCAGAAAGAAAACACCAAGAAATAGACACATTTGAGTAGTATGGAACACTCCGTCATGGAGGCTTAGACAGAAAAAATTTGTCTGGACCTTGAGGATTACAGGAGACTGGACAAACGGAGCCGAAGGGGATTCGTAGCAGAAAGCAGTTCTATTTGGTAGTCAAGGGGATGTAGCTTGATAACAACGACAAAGTGAGCGCAAGCGGGCTATGCGTCGGAACGATTGTATGAGTGGAATGAACTTCTGCAAAGCGTTCGTCGATTTGACAGAGATAAGAAAAAATAACAAATAGGTGCATACACAAAAGTGAAATAATTGGTAGGGCAGTGGTCAGTAGTGAGGAAGTTGCAACAGTCTGGGTGATAAGGTAAGGCATTAGAACCAACGAAGGGTAGTATGTTTGGTAGGTGTAAAGTGTGTAACACGAGCTAACTGGCGAGTCAATGGTTGTTTGACAGAGAACCGGAGGCTGGAACCAACGGTATAAGTATAAGCAGAAAGACAACCGTAGTTAATGACTCCAGTATACCCTCACAGTACTCAATCTGACAACCAAGAACATTTGGTTCAAAACAACCTGTCTCACAAGCCTCGAGAAGCACCGAGACTCAATGACAGTTTTCAGTTTATGCACTTTTCGGTTAAGAACTAGCTATCCACAATGTCATCTCACAAATAACATTCATCGATTTTACCTTTGGCTCATTTTCCGATGGTGGTTATCAGCCGAGAACACTTCACAGTCTGTGGGGCTCAGATGACTTCCCTAGATGGATAACATTTGACGGCAGCGCTTAATTGGTGATCTGTGCTAAAAGAAAATAGTAAGGTGGATATACTCAGAAGGATATCTAGTAAGCATCAATTCACTTCAATTTATCAGCTTTAAACCGTGTACCACAGACACGTTGGTTCCAGCTGCTACAGTTTCGAGCAGCGGAAAACTGGAATGTTAGGAGTACAATCAAGCCTTAGGGACGAAGTCATGTCCGGAAATTGGATAATCGCACATTGAAGGCTGTAGTTTTGATGTTCGAGCACCACTGACTGTGCGATTGGGCCCTTTATGCCAATACCATTAAACATTGGTGATTTTAGTCCCAAGGTCCACATCCAGGGAAGCGGCAGTTACCTACCAAACTAAGTTTACTGGTTAATATTTTCGTACTTTGTTGCCAGATCATACACTGTCCACCTCTTGGTCGCTTTCATTCAGCACAGAGCTTGGAAAAAAAGCTCTGTGGGGCAAACAGTCTTCTGGTATAGGCAGTACATGTCCTAACCGGTGCAGCCTATGAAGCGTGAGTAATTCATCGATCGTGGGATAAATCCTTCTTCATAGGAGCAGCCGGCGAACTAAAACGACACTAATCCGATGTTCACACCACAAATGCCCTTCGGAGAAACCGATGGTCAACTACACATTTTCCGTATGTCCTCTGCTCGTGGGGGCCTCGTTTCTGATCCAAAAGGCAGTATAGATTGCACCACCGCAGAGTAAACTCTGCCCTTGACAAATAAACTGGCGTCACATCGGCGCGATAAGTGTCGAAAGTTTGGCAAAAGCTGTCCTGGCCTTTCCGATTCGAGAGATAATCTCACCTCAAGCCATTCCACCGGAACTGATACAGCTGTCCAGGTAAAGCAAATTTACCTACCACGTCGATTGGCTCACCCGCAAGCATGAGGTGTGGGTTTCGTCCCACCCAGTCTTGTAGCACCACTTTACACTTTGCAGGTGTGAAGCGCACGGCAAACCGTACTCCAGAGTTACTTAGGTTATTTAGAATTGTTTGCATTTGGGAAGGATCTAAACCAAGGAGAGCAATATCGTCTGTATACCCAATGTTCGAGAGAACGTCCCGGGTGCATTTCGACTCCCGAGGTTTCAGAGACAGGCAGAGGAATTCCAAGCAGGATATCAATAACAGAGTTGAAGAGGAAATGGGAAAGACAGTCTTGTCTTACACCACTGGATGTGAACTCAGGTGACGGCTTCCCGCATATTCGTACGCACCCACAGCAGTTCGCATACAGTGCCGTCATAAGGAAGAGAAATTTGGAAGGGACACTTGATCGCCAGACAAATACGATCGACAGAATCAAAAGCAGCTTTCAAATCCAGAAAAACTACCAACGTGGGACGTCTGAAAGAGTGACGCTGTTCAAGAATATCTCAAAGTAAAGGTATGGTCGATGCATCCTCGACCAGAGCGAAACCCGGCTTGATCCTCACGAATCTGTCTTTCCCGATAATCCATCAACCTGCGCAAAATAATACTAGAGAGAACCTTAGATGCGACGGATATCAGTCTGATACCATGATGATTTTCACATAAGGTTCTTGATCCCTTTTTGAAAACTGGGGTGAATGTCGAGGAACTCCACTTGGCTAATATTCTGTTTTCGTTCAAAATCTTCTGCAGTATGGTTGCCAGACCGTTCACCAGGACCTCGCCAACTTTTTTGAAGAGTGCGGGATGCAGACCATCCGGGCCGAGTGCCTTGTCGCGCATAAGGATTGAAACCTGACGCAGGATTAGAATCGGCCCACAAACAAGCTCAGTCATACTCACATAACCAAGCGATATCATCTTCTGCGGCTGCGGCACCTTTACAGACATTTACGTTACCCCTTCACACTCAATCTCCCCTGATTCCACACCTTATCTCTGGTAGATCAATCCTCAATTATGTTATTTTTGGGATATTTCCAGGCACCCACGATCCAAATGCTTCGCAAGAGAAGCAGATTGCAAACCATGTGGCAAAACAGGCCATTTTTACTGTTTGTCGATCCAAATCTGTCAAAAATCACAAAAATTGTACGACAGATTCTGCTTCGTCTTCCCTTTTGACTGCTGCAATCCCGAACTGCTTGTCCCGCACGGTGACCAGCATAAAGGTAAAAGGAATATCGCTTTAGGCCCTCAGACACAGGAAGTTCGGGTGGTTTTGTATATCCTTTAGTAGTTCGTACACATGGCTGGAATCGATGTGTTGACGTGCTGCTAGGCCATAACTTCCTTGGTCTACATAACAAACTTGAAATCACATTCGGTGAGAACCGAGGTTCATTCAACCTATGCGGTCCAACTGATGCAATGGTTGAATCGCCTCCTCTTTTTGCTAACCGCTCACCCGATTGCAAGCCCATCGCCACGAAACTGTAGCGTTATTACCCTGACGACGAACAGTTCATCAGCTCTGAAGCTAACTGATTATTGGGATAAGGCATTACTGAACCTTCGAATTCTCCCGGTAGGGCTCAAGTACTGGGGATGCATGGCAATGGACCACAGCCAAACCATAAACCGGTTCACATACGCTTATCTGTTGCCGCGACTGGATAAAATGATTGAAGAAATTTCCCGCCATGCTGTCTTTAGCACCTTAGACCTACTGAGTGCTTACCACCAAGTTCCAACCAGTGAGAAAGACAAACCGTACTTTTGAAGCGTGCGGAGAACTGCTTCACTTCCATCGTATTCCTCTCGGTGTCATCAGCAAAGAAGCGTGCTTCCAGCGTACTATTGACCATATAATTAAGTCTGAGAACTCAAGTGGCACCTACGCTTACATCGACGTCACTATTTGTGGGACTACCCAAAGTGAACATGATCAGAACCTCAAATCTTTCGATGAAGCTATAAAAAATATGGAATTACGCTCAACTTCAAGAAAGTATCATAGAAGCCAAACAAATACGCCCTTCCAGCTATGAAGTTTCTGGAAGAATATCAGATCCTGAACGAATGTGCCTTATTCGTCAACTCCCTCGTCTATCTGACGCTAAATCCCAACAACGAGGTATTGGTATGTTTGTTTATTATTCGCAATGGATACCACAATTCTCTGACAAAATCAGTGTGCTTGTCAGAAATAAGACTTCCCCTTACTGGAGCGTGCACAACAGTCCTTGGAAGATTTAAAGAAGCTAGAGAATACTATGGTTGTGATCGTCGACTACCACCCACCCTTAGTTGTCGAGACAGACGTCGCAGACACAGCCACTGCCACATCTCTGACCCAGAATGGCAGACCGGTGGCCTTTTGTAAAGCGTTCAGCTGTACCACCCTTCCGGTGCCTAGCTGCCATGCCACCCGAAGGATTCAAGAGGGCTGGGATACTGCCAGGTTGCCTAGACAGGGGAAGTCGAGTGGCGGAGGTCGGATTCGAACCACGGACCTTCCGGTCAGTAAATTCGCGCTCTAACCACTTCGGCCATCTCGCCTTTTGTAAAACACTGACGTCGAGCGAAAAGAATCACTCTGCCGTTGAGAAGAAGGCATATGCCACCGTTGAATCCATCCGTAAGTGGGAACATTATCTCTTCGGGAAGCACTTCAAGCTTTGCACTAACCAGCGATCAGTTTCTTTTACGGCAGTGAAGCATCGGTGTTGAACACTGATATCATGCTATCGATGTTGTTGTTGGTGGTGGTGGTGGTTTCTTTTATGTACGCTGTGTCGCAGGAAAGTAAGATAAAATAAAATCCAGCGGTGGAAAATGCAACTCTCTACTTTTAGCTAAGATTTTAGCCACATGGCTGGGAAAGACAATCTGGTGACTGACACCTTATTGCGTAACCTATGTGCCAATGTGCTCAGCAATAATGAAGTATAAAAAATTCACAATTCCTTGTGAAATCCCGAAATTACTCGCATGCATCACTTTGTTTTTTTTTTCAAAAAACTTGCCGTTTTCCCTCCAAGATATCAAAGACATCGCCACAAAATTTACGGTTTGTGCCACCATCAAACCGCAATTTTACAAACCACACCCCGCTACGCTCACCAAAGCGACTCAACCATTCGAACAAACTAGCGTCGGTTTTGAAGGATCTCTGCCTTCTGTTACTCGAAATCAATATCTCCTTACTTTCGTTGACGGGTTTTCCCCTTTACCACTTGCCTTCCCCAGCGCAGATACATGTGCGTCTACTGCCATTAAGTGTCTATGTAAATTATCAACTTTGTTTGCTATACCTGCATATGTACATTCGGATCGTGGCTCCTCATCCATATCTAAAGAGCTGACCACATTCCTACATGACACAGGAGTTTGCACCAGCCGAACAACTTCTTTTAATCCCCAGAGGAATGGGCAGGTCGAACACCCCAGACTCTCTGTAACACAATCGAGCTCAAACTCAAGATAAAAGGCCTTCAAATCTGTCGGTGAGAGTCGGCTCAATCAGATGCCCTCCACTCATACGGTCCCNTTTGCGTCTCCAGGAATGCCACTCCACATGAACGAATGTTTTGGTTTGAACGTCGGTCATTCTGTGGTTTGTCTATACCAACTTGGCTGACTACTCCAGGGCCTGTTTTACTGAAAAGATTTGACTGTGCCTCAAAGTATGAAGCGGTCGTTGAGGAAGTCGAACCTATAAATTGCAATCCACATTACGCCCATGTTCGTTTCCCGGCAGAAAAGAAGGTACTGTCCGTCTGTCATCTCACTCCTTATGGTGATCGCGCACATGTCAACGAGTTCACGCTCACCTCATCCAGCGAAGGCAATGGCGCTCATACACCCCTTCTGTCTGAATTCCACGCGCCTCCGCTCAATAAGTTGAAGATAATACCGATCACACTTCAGTCTCACCCCCGTGCCTGGACGATGCACCTGCGTCTCCAAATCCCCCCCCCCCCGGTATCTCTGATTTAGCTAGACTCCAGCATCGTACGCGACCCTACATTTTAAGAGACCGAGAAGTCCGATCACAGTTATCATCACCCCATATTAGGTTTTTACAATCAATCTTCATTTAGTCCCTATGTCTGAGTTACCCCTCTCTACACACAATCCAACGGCCCGGGTGAATGTCGTGAGTATTCTTTGCGTTCATATTGTCGTTTCGTATTAACCATCTATTCTTAGACAAGTAAAGCGATATTCATTCTACGATATTCAGTCTTGTTCTCGTGCTCAATCGGGATTGATACTTCATCCGTAACAGAGGTTGTGTTGAAGGGGACTAGGTGAACTGTTCTTGGAAGTGCTCAGCCTACCGCACAAGACGACGATTGAGGGAGAGAATTGCTGTTCCGTTCTTTTCGCATTTGCCTCACTGACACCTGCCTTCTTTTGACGGTTGGCCGAATTAGTTGAAACAGGGCGCGGCTGTTGTCCGCAGTGAAAGCCTCCATCTCCCAGGCTTTCGAAATCCACCAGAGTTCTCGGTCATTCTCCAAGCCCCTGATTATCCGGTGTTTGACGGAGCGCCGTGGGCCAGTATAGCCAATAATTGCTGGTATGGCCTCTCCGGCAACAATAAGATAAGGTGATCTTGAAGACATCCAGTGTTACCGTTTCAGAAGAGCTTGGTAAACAATCGGTAGTTTTTATTTGGGCAACGTTTCGCTTTTGACACAAAAGCTTCATCAGGCCAAGTGAACAGGTCACCAAATTGGCCAGGTTATAAGACAGACGGGGAACCAATCAGTAAGTCCTCTTCACACTAGATCATTGTTGAGTGTCCATTAACAGCTCTTGTCGGCTAGCGTGGGTGTCAAAATCTTGAATTGGTGGGTTGGAGGAGTTTCAAATTACTTCCAATCGCTTTCCGTTCCTTAATCTTCCACTTCATGGTGCTTCACTTGACGATTCACCCCGGGTGCCACTGGTAGATCCTTGATCATCGGGGGATGTGAATGTTACGACAATTTAGTTGGGGGGAGGGGAGGTGCGTAAGGTTAAGTGGAGTTCAGGTGATGACTACTCTTCCCTCTGATGATC